CAAGGAATGTAAAGTAAATGAAAGTAATGAATGTAAAACAGACTCTAAAGTTGCAATTCACAGTTAACTAAAATAGCAGGTGTTTCATATACTAGTCATATGTGGTAAAGGCACATTATATGAGTATCTAAGCTATAAGACAAATATGATGTCAAGCATCTGGGTTCGACTCCAGCTTGTGTAATGTTCTGATCCTTATCCTCTTATCTCCCTCAACTATCACTAAATAATAGCTAAAAGCCTTCAAAAACAGACACAAATACTTCATTGAATCACCTACCATTTACTGCTCATTCCTCCTTTACTATCATCATTTATTTGGAACGCATGATTTGACAGTTGGCAGAGGGCTCTCAGCAGCAAATTCTAAAGCACAGCATAACAACACCAAACCCGCCTTGTATAATAACTGTTGTCAATTATAAATCTGATGAAATTTTCATAAGATGGCAAAAACATTGTTAGATAAAAGAAGGGGGAAAAAAAAAAACTAACAGATTTAAGGTTGGAGGTGGAGCCAACTTAAAAGCTGCTGGTTATTTCCCTATTTCACACTCGACAGAATTCACACAATCTTTGTCTTCCGCGCTGGTCGCACTGCATATTTCATCAAAAAGACATACGCTTGCATGTAACACACCAGATCCATCCAACTTTTTTTGATGCAACTGGAAAGTTTTATCTATTTATTTGCCAATCCCAAAGTGTTGCCAACTCGAGCTGGTGGTTTTTGCAGTTTGTTTATCATTGACCATCACAGAGGCGCCAGTGTGAAATAAAGTATTTTTAGATGTTGACATAACGGCTCGAAGAGGGACGAGACCATGAATTTTTCATAGCGGCTCACAGGGAGAGGTCATTCGCCACTCTTTCTCTATAAAAGCGGAGGGGAAAAAGAATTTCTGGAAGGATGCGAGTGGCTTTCACCCCTCTGAAAAATAAACTGATCAGCCAAGTACAGCGACCTAGAGACACAGAAACAAAACCCTACTGAATGTTGAAAAATTGATTCCCTCATTGTCCAGCTGTTCTGAAGCACACACGCCGACTCAAACCTCTTATTTCCTGGTACCCGTGCCGCTCTCCTCAATTTCCCAGCAAACACAAGCAGCCACCATCTACTGAACACTATGCTGGTAAGTCAACATTGTCTTTTGGGAGACGACAATGAAAAAAGGTGTCCAGTACAGTAGTGTCACACTTGCCTAACAATTCTTTGGTAGTCTCCATGAGAATGGATTTGTTTTGTTTGTCTGTAACGGCATTATTAGACAGTTAGCAATCCGTTTTACCATTTCTAAACTATTTACAGCTTTGACCGGCTCTAAAGAGTGGATTCCAACCAGAGTGTGCGTCCGTGTGTGTGCCTGTGTATAATCCTATTTGAAGTATTCTCTGTGTTTTCAATGCATTGAGGAGTTTAGCATAAATCAGAGTGACAGACTTAAAAGAAAAGGCTTTGCATTAAAGAGTCTAGGTCAAGGGGATGGGTCTTAAACACAGACAAATCCTTTCTTCTCTGAAATATTAGCACACTCCGACCGTTACCAGACGAGTGAAAGTGCATCCCTCAAAGTGTCAATTAAAGCGGCACAACAGCGGCACATCAATACGCTCGAGCTGCCGCGTGACGTTTTAATTAAGCCTTGCATAACATTCCATCTGGTCACGGAAGTCAAAAACATTATTTGCTTCCTCACCTCTCTTCCACAATACGTTACAATACACCTATGTCACACGCACACAAAAGAATATTGTAAAGAGGCACAAGGCCTCGGCTGTCGTTTGGCATGTGCACTCAAGTCAGTGAGCTTTGAGTTGGTGTTGGGTTGCCGGCAAAAACACTAGTGTACCGTCTCCATCTGTAAGCATGGCTGGGCAACAATGAGCCTACTCCAAATGTTACACGCCATTCAGGCCTCGTTGGTGTGTGTGTGTGTGTACATGCAATGCCGACTCCCAATTGTTCATGCACTGCATTTAACAAGCTGGTGAATCAGTCCCATACCATCAGAAAGGAAGTGTGGAGATACAAATAGTCACATTCATTCACATGCACAAACACACACCGGTGTCAAAACAACAATGCCTATTTATCTGTTCCCAATCACTGTGCTCCTGACGATTATTAATCATGTTAGAGTCTTATTGCCTTGAAAATGAAATTACATGAAAATAAATGTTTCTGCAATTAGCTGTCATGCCTCCCATTGACAGGGAATGATTAAAACGAAGATGCTGACTAATTGGGCTTTGAATAATGAAATGATATGTATTCTGACTTTTAAGCAGGTGTGAAAGCAGAAGCAACAAGGAGATGATAAAACATCTGGCCACACTGGACAGGTTCTGTCAATCAATCCACCTTCAGTGAATCCCATTACCATGACAACCCCCAGCCAATAACATCTGTACTGGCCTTTATGAGGGAAAGAGGACCACTATATTTGACAATATTAGCATCATTACAGTAACAAATGGTGCCTTCTTGCTCCTTTATTTGATTTGAGATCAAACATGCGCATGCTCTCTCCATCCCACAAGCCTCGGCCTGCCACGGGTCTTCTAAAAAAAACAAAAACAAACAAACAAAAAAAAACCCTCTTTCTGTCACGATATAAATGACACTTCAGAGTTTGAAAGTGCTCCTATCGATCACTCTAACTTTAATGTGAAATAATAAAATCAGTTCAAGTTTTTCCATTGTCCATTTCTTTCCCCCCTCCCTGTCTCTCAAGTGAACAAAGGCCAAGTTCAAGGCAACATCAAAAATGTATTTCAGCTACATTTCAGATTAGTCAAAGGTCTCTCAGCATGCACGCACACACACACACACACACACACACACACACACACAGTGCTAAATCTCTCCTCGCATTATTACATACATCCCCCATAATACATTAGTTTCCCTGCAAATACATTTTCAAATATTTCTGATGTTTAAAAAAAAAAAAGTAAATCAGGCATAGGTATACAAATTCATATAAAAATTGCACTATTATATAAAGTAAGTCATATCTAATTTGCACAAGACACCAATATTTGTATCTCAAACATCTTGTGCATATATAAATGATTGGGTCACAGATTACACTATCAAATTGACCTGACCGACCTGAACTAGAGAATTCTAATAAACAGAATGTCAGATATGTGCTTAGAAATACTGGCACAAAATAAATCGCACCACAAAACTTTCAGTAGAAGGCCTAAACCAGTCAAAACAACCAGGAGACTGAAACATGTTTCTGAATACAGCTATATTAAAAAAATGAATATAGGAGGCCAGTCCAGAACCATGATTCAAAGGGAGGCCATGTCCGTTGATGTCCGTGACTTTAGCGGGCAATATACATTAACATTTAAACAAAAGACCATTTAGGATGGGCCAGGAATCTTTCACCAGTCACTATCGTCAGTATCAGCTTTCAGCGCAATTACAGTACATGGTGATACCTCAGTACCATGCTCCCTTCTACACTGTTTTCAGTCTGTGTGTGTGTGTGTGTGTGTGTGTGTGTGTGTATACGTCAGGTTGTTTCTTCTTTATCTGTCGAAACACAACCTTCAGGTATGTGTTCATAAGTAAAATGTAACTGATAACCTTTTTTTTTATCTTATTGCGTTTCGGAATACTGTATAAATAAATTAGTAGTCTGCAATCCATGATGTGCTTTAGAGGTTTGGCTCGATGTACAGATCAGTTTGACATTATAAGTAATTTAGAGACACCCTTACTGCCATTAAAGTCACCAAAGCAAATGATGTAATTTGTCTGAAAAAAAGAAACAAATATTTAAATAAATATTACATTTTTTTCTCAAAAATATAAGAGAAAAAGCTGCTCAGAAAACATACTCTTATATTAAAAAACTGCCAGAGAGTGTTATGTGAAATTGTACTGTCTCATACTTTTGTACTTTCAAAAAATTGGTTATGAGAGAATATTTGTTTATAAGCATAAGCTAAGCTTTTTAAATGCTTTTAATTAATCAGTGAGCATTCATTCAGAGCTGAGAATAAAGCTTAAACAAACATGAGATAAGAACTGTAGTCAAAGAAAAATGACTAGGTGAAGTTAACCATTACAGATTTTCTGGAAAGCAGCTACTTTAAGACATCTTCAGCACACTGTGAATTAGTTGATGCTGTACACAGTAGTTTCCCTCTAAAGCAGGTCTGTATGAAACACTCACAAACAACTTCAACACATGAGCAGTGGGATATTGTAATATTGTTCACACAGGATACTGTAACAGTCAAATAACTACTTTCATAATCTATACTTGTATTATGTCAGTTATTGCCATTGTTGTAAAACTCAATCTTACACAGTAGGATTAATAGAAAACGAGTTAAAAATGTGCATTTGTAAGTTATATAGATGCAGGTAGCCTGGCATTCTTATGTTATTTATTTTCATATCTAATTTATATATACGATTTTATTTTTATTTATTTTACTGATCTGACTTTGTCATGCAGTACACTGCTCATTTTGAACGTCATTACTGTAAATACATGTAAGTTGTCAGAAGTGTTAAGAACTGATATTTTATGACACAATTTTAAGTTGTTGTGCCGCACATTTTAAATATTTCACAGAAAGACAACGGAGACGTCAAGTAGATGAAGTTAATAAAACCACGGTGCTCTTAAAAATATACAGTGAAGCTTACACGCACCGCACGTGAACACATTTACAACCTGTGTGCACCTACTGTCTTTATATTATTTACATTAACATGCGCTTAACTAAACTATAAATACTGAAAGTAATGTATTTCAAGCGACGAACTCATTTTCTCTGTATAATAATTTTCATTCAGGAGTAATAATTTGATTTTTAAAATCTAACAATAAAACAATAATTAAAGCAAGCTTTAAAAATGAAAATTAAATTAAACCTGCCTTGACCTGTTTTGTCTCTATAAAAGGGTAAAAAAAGTACTTGTATAAATGAGCGCTCGCGCATGCTGAGGCCATCGGGCTTCTTACCTGCTGTTGATGTGTTTCAGCATCCCATTGAGAAAACTTCACTAAACGACGGTCAACTTCTTCAGGGAAAGACAAAACAGAGAGATGTTTCTTGCAAAACAAGTCCTCCTCAACTCGCTTCAAACAGCAACTCCCGTCCAAACGACATAGTCCGGAGAGCGCGAGATTCACTCAGATGTTGACCTCTCTGAATGCAAGAGCAAACGGAGGAGATCAGTCGGGGGTGATCGATGTGTCCAGCGCTCATGTGCGTATACGCCGAATATCAGCCGCCGCCGTCCGGATACACCGAGATACGGAGTTACACGAGCAGCCGCTGTTTCCTCACAGAGATACAACAAAGCCGGGAGTGCGCGCGTGCATGTCTAACTGAAAGCGCTGCGAGAGTACAGATAATTCGCGCAAGAGTGTGTTTCCTCAGCTCTGGATCTAGCTCGGCGGTGGATGTGAAGCGCTACTGGTCCCCCCGCTGCGTCCAATCAGTGCGCTATGTGTCTATCCAGCACCGGATCAGTGATAAATGAAGGGTCATCCATGACTAACGCCGAACCCTGATGAATGACTTTCACGAGCTCCTCGTCATCATCGTGTCTCTGGCTGATAGCGACTGTAGGCAGCTCATGGGTTTGGCTCTGTTTTACGTTTTCATTCGGGATGCGAAGTTCATTCTCACCGAGGAGCAGCACTGCGCTTGGAAGTGTTGTTATTTTGCATGCTAAAAGTTAACACTTACCAGAGCCCAAAAACATAGGGGACAGGACATACTGCAGAAGAGTGTCATGTCCTGTATAATAATGATGATAATAATAATAATAATAATAATGTGTGTGTGTGTGTGTGTGTATAAAAATAACTGTTAGATTTATGTTAGATTAGACCTTTTCTTTATATTTTATGGTAAAAACAAAATGGCAGAACTTTACTGTATTTAACAAACAAACAAACAAATAAATAATGTTGCAAAATTGTTGCTGCAAATGGCATTACAAGAATTATTAGGCAGGATTTTGGTGACATGCTACCTGACAATGCTTTTATGTCATAAGATTATATGTCATTAAATATAATGTTAATATACTGACATATTTGAACTACACATATTTGAGAATATGTTTGTAAAATAATTAACTAGTTATTTAAAAATTAAACAACTGATATGTTACCTAATTCATTCTTATTACAAAAAATATATAATTTTAATAACATCCAAAGTAAAATTACACTTATTACCTTGTTAAATAACAATTTTTCCTGTAAATAAAGCAATTCACAATTTTTTACAGAAAAAACATTTTTCAGTATTTCACAGTAAATATATGTATACTGTACTTTAACAATTTTTGTAATGAATATCGCAAGGTAGCTTACTGTTAAACAGTTTTTACTTAACCATTTTACATTCTTTTTGCATTTTTTTTTAGAGTGTACCACTGAAAGCCATACATTTAATAAGATTCACTAAATTCCTTTCTTCTAATATGTTCATTTCGCAACATTATACACAGTATGTGATATTTAGCAAAATTTTTAAGAAGGACAATTGCCAATTCTGTCACATTTATGAAGCCAGTGCAGGTGCACATTACAACAGTACAGTTCCATAACCATCCATATCGCCCAACCCCAACATATATATTGCAAAATAAGGTGATATCACCCTGAAGGGGTTTATTGTCCTATAATGATTGTCAGACTGCTACTTACCAAATAAATAAGTGGACAAGAAATATTGGTCTGAAATGAAATTATTTTATTATGTGAGAAGAAAGAGGCTCAGGACAAAAGCACTAAACTCGCTTCCCGTCTGAGCCCTGACCAACCTGTCTGTGTTTATTTTGCGACAAACTGGCCGACTGTACATCACTTACATTACATGGAAATAAATAAATAAATATATTTTTTTAAACTACTGATTTCAAAAGTTATTTTATTAGATAATTAGATTAAAGTGACCACAGGTTTCTCATGCTATACAGTAAACAAACAGAATGTAAGAATATAAGAAAAAACAACTCAAAAGCAAGATGCCTCCATACTGAAGATGAATGAAGAGTGCACAGGCAGTCTTGTAAGTTAAAATTGGCACTGCCACTGAAGCAAACCTCTGATGCCCCCTGACCTCATCCACCTGCTCCTAGCACCTTCATTGGCAAAGTTCAAATATTTCCACAAAGTCCTATGAAGCTTAGCAACTACACAAGACTTTGAGTGAAAGGAGCAGCAACTGCAATTTTAGCAAGTTTTGGTGGCTGACCCGGCTTAACCCAGAGTGGTGTGCTTCTCGGTTAAAAACACCTGAAGAGATCCCCAGCCCCACACTTCATGCAGGCAGGAGAGCACTCAATTACCCTCTACCAAACTCACGCAAATTCAATGCATCCTTGTTTCTATGGCAGATTTCTATTTTAGTATTATCCGTGAAAAAATGTTTCTTTCATTTACAGTTTCACACATTTAAAAGATTCCTTTGACTGTTTGTCTATAGAGT